AGAGAGAGAGAGAGAGAGAGAGAGAGAGAGAGAGAGAGAGAGAGAGAGCTTTGTAGTTGGGTGACAGTGGTTTGTGAATAAAAGTGCAGATCATGAGCCTCCTTGGCACTTCATGATGTTAAATATTTGGATTCTGCCAATGGTCATGCTATAGAACTCTTTCGGACCGAAACCTCCCTGCCAGCATGTTCACCATCATCCACGCATCACATGCTGTGAAGTCCTATTGTGAGAATACTCTGAGTCACATGCTTTGGTTGCCCTTCTTTCTTGGATTTTTCTCTTGTTGTGTTTTTCTTTTGATTCTTTGCTTGTGTTTTGTGAAATCTGTCTTTTTTGTTATACGTTTATCATCCTTATCCAATCATAATAAATTAATTATAATAAAGGTCTTTAGACTCTTAGCCGTCGGCAGCACAATAAGTGCCCTGCAATTTCTTTACTGGTGCTCGCCCTAAGTGAAGGTGGGGCTGCATATCGCAAGGGGCCTATGAATTGGGGCGTCCTCCAGGCCCTCGGCACCAGACAGTTACCGGGCGCCCATTGGTTACAGGGCTCCAGCGTGTGAGACCACGACATCAAGAGCCTTCCAGGCTCTTCCAGGCAGCGATGTGGAGCAAGGCCTTTCGGCCAATCAGGACACAGCGAGTGACAGGAGCCACGTCGCACAGTTGGGCGAGCCTAACTGCTTCGGTCCCAGGCCGCTATCTGAAACTGGGCCTAGGCACAGACACTTTCGCCTGACTGGAAGCTACTGGGCCCCAGCGCGCATGCAGTTTCCATAAAGGAACGGGCGCAGAGAGATTGTTACATGCTGAGCCTGCACACGGGCCCCATTTCCGGGGCCCGATGGTTGCTGGGGGGCCCCAGGCCGCACGCCATTCACGCATGCGTCCAGGAGGCCCACGGCCAGCCCCTGGGGCCGCAGGGTTCGATTTGAGACAGAATTTAATTATTTTAATTCATTTATTTATTTATTGTTCTATTTTTGTCTGTTTCAGGCATCGTTTCGGACTTGCAGTACGTCCGGACAGACATACGGTTCGTTCGGACCATGGCCGCAGTTTGGGCCTTCTCTATCCGCGGCCAGGCCCTTTCGGGGCAGGTTCATTTTCGTCCGGTAGCGGACACTCCCTGCTGCATCAGCAGGGAGGGCCTGGAAGTCTGGTAGGGACCCAGGCAGGCCGTTTCAGGCCAGGACAGGGGCACACCAGCGAGGCCCAGCGCTATACATAGCTGGGCCAGGCCAGGGAAGCCACACAGTTCGAGTAGCTCACTTCCTGGGCGACAAGCTGCTGGAGCTGCGCTATACAGCACTGCGCTAGAGGTAGACGTGTAGATAGGGAGAAGGGAGGAGGCCATACCTGCAGTGACGGAGTACGTACCTGGGCGCCATAGCTGCTTCGCGCCAGCGACCTGCAGCACAACGACACGCCGGAGCGTTAGTACCTGGCCACAGTTCCTGCAGGTGAGACCGCGAGGAGGACGGCATCTTCTTCTTCTTCCTTCCTTCTCCTCCTCCTCCTCCTCCTCCTCCTCCTCCTTCTCCTCCTTCTCCTCCTCCTCCTTCTTCTTCTTCTTCTTCTTCTTCTTCTTCTTCTTCTTCTTCTTCTTCGTTCAGAGAGAGAGAGAAAGGTTACATCGGGCTATGAGGCCTAGGATCTGATTCGACATTTTTGTGGCAGACGTTGATTGGACATTCAGCAGGGATACTATTTTTGGACTTCGCTATCGCGATCTTGGTCGTCTCCCTCATCTCCATCTTCGTCTCGCCCCTCTTCCCTCACCTCATCCATGGTATCTCCCCATGTGTGCGTGCCAGGAGGGACCTTTCCTTCGATGTGTGCGGTCCCTTCTCCCGTCTCACATGTGTGATGTGTGTTGGTTGAGTCGTGTCCGTATCTGACAGGTCAGGTCCTATCTTTGAGTCTTCCGCTGCGCTACATTGCGCTATTTTTGTATGTATCTGGATGTACATTGCTTGTTGATGCTTCGCTGATGCTGCATGGTCCAGTCGAGTCCTTTTCATCACTTTGTGGATCCTTTGGCTCCATATACATCGCTCGATCGAGCATGTATCAGAGGTGGAGGGGCAGTTCTGGGCAGCGGGCGCAAGCGGCCATCGCCGGGCACTTGTGGATAGATGGTGTAGGTGATGGTGGTCTTCGGGTGTTGGGGATGCACACTGTGTGGGAGAAGGTGATGGAAAGAAAGAGGGAGAAGAGACACGTACCTGATGTGTCTGCGTCGACCCCCGTCCCCGGATCCCCACCGGAGGTCCCGATCCCCGGGTCCGAAACCCCAAGAAAAAAAAAAGGGGGGGGGGGGGAGCGGAGCGATGCCGCCGACCTGCAGGCATTTTCTGCATTTTGCATTAAAATGGCTTCTCGGGAACCCTCCCCGGGGATAGACCCTCCCCTGCCAGGACCGGGGTTGCTGGGGCCGGAGGTCGAGGTGGGGGGGCGGGGGTCGCAGCGGGGGTCGGGGGATGCGGGGGTCCGGGGTCGGGTTGCGGGGGTCGGGGCCGGGGTTGGGCACCGGGGGTCTCTCTCTCTCTCCCTTCCTCTCTCTCTCCCTTCCTCTCTCTCTCTCTCTCTCTCTCTCTCTCTCTCTCTCTCTCTCTCTCTCTCTCTCTCTCTC